CATATATATATATATATATATATATATATACAAAATCTAAATATATGTATTATATATAATGCAGAACACAAGCATTTTCACCAGTAGCTTCACACTTCTGAGCACACTATACAGTACATGGTAATGTAACTTCATTCATATATCCATATTCAGAAGTGAAATGCGCAGTTGAGCTCATTATTTTCGGGAGTTTGGGAGAATATAAAAATGTAAGAATATAAAAACAGAATTTTTATGCAACACACATTTGATCTCAAAGATGTCAAGTTGCTTTAATGAAACCCATATTCCAAATATAATTAATATTATATAATTACCAGACATTAATTTAAATTACAGACTATATCTATGAAAAATGTTACCTTTTTATAAATTATAACAATTCAGAATTCTTGCACTGGATCTAGACAATGCACTATTATCTTTTTTTAAATAATGACGAATAAAAGGGCAGAATGGACCATTTCTCCATTGTTTTTCCACCCATTATGATTCTTTGTAAATTCACCATTCTCACCCATTTTGATTCATCCCTATTTCATATATCCATGTGTGTTTTATGGTGGAGGACTATATCAGTGTCTGCAGTACTTTAGCAAAACGGCTAACAGCACCTTTAAGTGGCTATTTAGTCAAAGGTATAAATGCAGCAGCACTCTATGGGTGAGTTTGTCCTGTACCGTTGAGCTGGGTGTGTTGGTCCCATATCCAGAGGAGGGAAGAGAGGCCAGAGACCAGCGTCTGCCATCAGCCCTACGGAGGGACACAAAGTTTCGTAATCCATAAATGCACCAGATTTTGCACAGTATTACCCTAGTTTATCTCAGTTTATCTTAAGTGAAAAATAAAATTTAAATAATTATTGTTCATTTCAACAAAATGTTTAAAAGCTAAAGTTCAGCTAAATGTTTCATTGTCCCTCCCACATTAAAATTAAAAGGATAAAGCAAAATTAAAACGTAGGCATGTTCAGTATGAGAAATGAATACTAAATATTTTAATGCAAAGATGAAAGTAAAGACATGTAAAACGGTAGGAAAGATTTCTATTTTAAATTAATTCTGTTTTTTTCACTTTCTATTCATAAAAAAAAAGTCACATTTTACACAAATATATTAAGGAGCACAACTGTTTTCAACATTGATAATAATCAGAAATGTTTCTTGAGCAGTAAATCAGCATATCAGAATGATTTCTGAGGGATCACGTGACACTGAAGACTAGAGTAATGATGCTGAAAATTCAGATTTGATCACAGAAATAAATTACATTTCAAAACATATTTAAATAGAAAACAGTTATTTTAAGTTAAAATAATATTTCACAATTTTACAGCTTTTACTGCATTTTTTTTAAAATAAATGCAGCTTTGATGAGCATAACAGACTTAAAAAAAATATATATATAAAAAAAATCTTTCTTCACTTCTTCTGTAGATGAAGCTGGATCATGAATGATTCGCGCGAACATAGATGCATT